AGAGTGGAGCAAATCTGTCTTTGGAAGCCAGCAGAGGAGGCAGGGTGGGCTGGCCCAGCCTTCAGGACAGTGGCAGCCCCGCGGAGCCCTGGGCAGTTCTGCCCCGGGCTGAAGCTTGCACCCGCAGAACCAAGGTTGGCGAGAGCCCCAGTACAGTACAATCTTTTCTCTCAAGGACTGTGTCCAGCTTTTCCAGTGAAATGTAAGGACATTTGTCCCATCAAATAGAAATTAGAAGTTGGTGTTTGTCACAGCATTATTTAGAGTTGGAATGTTGATAAGAGATTGACAAGCTCAAAGAAAGCAGGCATCTTGGTTTTCCTCACCAAAACACATGAGCTGTCAAGAGCAGTGCCCCATGATCATTGTGGAACAGATGACATTCCCAGGGACAGCTGTGACTTGTTTCCTAATCTCTGTTACAAATATGACCGAGTATTACACAGCCATTAAAAATGACATGACATGAAATTTGTCAAATTGCAAAGTGGCTTACAAACCTATATGTAGAGTGTGATCCTGTTTTTCTTTTGGTGGGGGGCAAAGGGGTTTATATACAAAGTCGGGAAGGCAGGATAGATTCTAAATAGTGATGCTGGCTAACTGTGTGGCAGATTTATGGGTGATCATCTGTATTTTCACATTTCCCCATTTCAATGCACGTTACTGTTTGTTTGATAAGAAGAGACAATAATGTTAGCTTTCTTTTTCTGTGAGAAATCATTAGGGTTCCAACAAGTAGGTCCTTTGACAGGTCATGAGGTGGAGAGAAAGCCAACATCCTCCTCTCCTGATTATGTTTTGGAATTTCTCCAGATGAATACCCGGATGATCAAGGAAACAAGAAGCCAACCAGCTCATTTGGAGCCTCCCAGAGAGAGAAAAAAAGTTCAGACATATTTCCTTCTGCTAATTCAGGTGACACATCATTCCAAAATTGACGGCGACATTGCTCAGACCACCCTGGACATCACGAACACCAGCTGTAGGCTGGACATGCATCAGAAGACACTGGCTGAGCTGGACAAGGAAGTGAAAAAAGTCAACGACCTCATCACAAACAGTGAAAATGAAATCTCCAGGCGCACAATCCTGATTGAGAGAAAGCAAGGCCTCATCAACTTTTTGAACAAGCAGCTGGAGCAGATGATTTCTGAACTCGGGGTAAGACCCCAGGGCTAGGAGAAGCCGCTCGGGTTGATATCCATGACTGGCCATTTCAGGAACTTCTTACGTTCAGAAACGAACTCACGTAGGACACATGCGTTCCTGTCCTGCCGATCGTACAGGTGAAGCACACGTGTCTGTGCCAAATGCTCTGACTCAGGAGCTGTCTGCAGACCTTCTCTGTTGGGCCAGATAGTCAGTATTTCAGGTGTTACAGGCCAGATGGTCTCTTGCAACCCCCCACCCCAGCGGCTATGAGGAGGCACAGGCAGTACGTAAACAGATGGGTGTGGCCGTGTGCAGTAAAACCTTACTTAGGGCCCCTGAAGTTTGAATTCCATATAACTTCCGCCTGGCAAAAAATTCTCCTGATTTTTTGTGTGGCCCACAGGCTATGCGAAGACAGGCAGAGGGCGGGATCTCAGCCACTGACTGCAGCTCTAAGTGAAGTGGTCTGATGAGTTTGGGGCTTGAAGTCCTACAGGTTATCCATGTATCACTGACCTGAGGAACCCACCAACAGCTTCAAGTCCCAGAACAGGATGGGCAGCTGGGGGCACATTCTTAGGTAGACCTCGACACCAGAGTGTGGTCTCAGAGCTGCAACCTGCGTGGATTCCAAGGAAGTAAAGACCCTAACCCATGACAGTGTGCTGTTAAAAGACAATTTGCAAAGCCCCTTTGGGTGACAGAGGCCCTGCTGCCCCTGCCCCAAGACTGGGGCATGGTGGGTCCCGGCCAGTGGAGGGAGGGGAAGGGGTCACAGACCTCCAGACCCATATCTCCCACAGCAGGTCAGGCCATATTGCTTGGGCCCTCAGGGGAAGGGACCCTATGACAGGGTCCCTGGTCCCTCTGAGTAAAGACCCCCTACTCGTCGTACAGACACATGGTCTCAGGGGTCCCCACCCTTGGCAGCCCACCCGGATTTAGAGGCTCATTCTGCTTTCTGGTGAACCTCACTTCCAGGGGGAAGAAGTGGGGCCCCTGGAGCTGGAGATCAAGAGGCTGACCAAGATGATCGAGGAGCACAACGCCGGCGTGACGCAGGCCCAGGTGACCTGGCTCCGGCTGCAGCAGGAGATGGTGGCGGCCACGCAGGGACGTGAGGAACACCTGGCCTCCCTGGACATGTCCAAGAAGGAGATCCACATCCTGGAGCAGAAGAAACTACGGATAGAAAGTGAGCTCCCCTGCCCAGCCCCCCTCCACAGCACCTGCTGTGGTGTCCCGGTCCCACCTGGTCCCACCTGGTCAGCCCAGCCCTGCAGCCCCACAGGAAGTGCTGCCTGGTGTCCAGGGCCCACTCGGCCTGAACACATCATGCCCATTTCTTCCCGGAGGTCCTGCCGCCTGCTCGTCCTGCCCTGGGGCCACCCAAACCCCCCTGTTGTTGGTCAGGGTCGTTGCTTTCCGGCCCTGCCCCTCAGCTTAGCTGGTGTTTCCTAGGGGCTTGGTGTCTGAGCGCCAGCCCTGTCCCCTTCTGCCTCCTCTGGCTGGGCGGGGGTGCCCGAAGGTCGGCGGGGCCGGGGGGCGCTCTGGGCACAGACCCAGATCACTACCCCCAGGGGCCACCCCCAACCCCCGGCCGCCCTCCCCGCAGACAAGATCGACCAGGAGAAGAAAGAGCAGAAGCAAATCGAGCGGCACATGAGGGACCTGGACAACGACCTGAGGAAGCTCAACGTGCTGATGAACCAGAACAGACGCAGCTCCGAGGAGCTGCACCAGGGCAACCTGGCCACCGAGGGCGAGTTCGTGCGTGCACTCAAGGTGGGCTCCACCTTGAGCTCCCGCCCATGGTGGGCAGGCAGGGGGCGAGGCGGGGGAACAGGTGTGCGCCCGCCCTCAGCCCCACCCTCAGCCACCCCCTCCACATGCAGGCCTCGGAGCGAGAGACCATCGAAATGCAGGAGAAGCTGAACGAGCTCAGGGAGGAGAAGGCGGCCGTGCTCAACAGCCTGGTGGAGGCGGAGTGAGTGCCGGGCGCGTCCCGTCCCAGGGTCGCTGCCCCGCGGAGCCATGGGAGGCCACCGTCCGCATAAACCGGCCGGGAGGTGGGGGCGGTTCTGGAACCCAAGGGGGATCCCGGGGAAGAGTGGGGTTCTGGTCTCCTGCGCTCGGGGCAGCCCTCCCACCAAACCCATGATCGTGGTGGCTGGAAATAGAGTGGCTTCCTTTGGGACAGACTTTTTTAAAACTGTATGATCTTTCTGGTGCCTGATTGTAAGAGTAATCCAGACCCAACGGTAAGCATTTTAAACCATAACAGTGTGTGCAGAGTAGAAAGGAGAATCACACTTAATCCAGTCCTCTTCCTTTACCATTTTCTCTGTGTATTTCTTTCATTTTTTTTTTAAACAAAAATGAGATTGGTCTCTATGTCCCCCTTTGAAGTAACTTTATATTTTTCTGTAGATGTCCTTCCCCGTTGGTGCACGTAGATCTGTATCTCCAGTTGCAAGGGCTCTTGAGCGGGTAGTGTATGCATGTACCCTGATTGGTGCCATGTGATCGCCAAGGGGCTGAGTGGCAAAGGGATCATCCCCTCCCTGTGGTTTGACAGAATCTACACATAACACCACCTGGAGCTTGCAGAGGATCTTAGTCCCTCCAGGCTGCTACAACGGAACACCACAGACTGGGGCTTATAAACAATAAACAGGAATTTATTGCTCACAGTTCTGGAGGCTGGAAGTCCGAGATCAGGGTACCTATATGGTCGGGTGAGGGCTCTCTTCTGGGTTGCAGACTCCTTGCTGTGTCCTCACAGGGTGGCAGGAGAGGGGGAGATCTGTGGGTTCTCTTTTATGAGGGCACTAATCACATTCATGGGGGTTCCACCCTCATGACCTCATCACCATCCCAAGACTTGGCATAAGGATTCCAACATGTGGATTTGGTGGGGGGACACAAACATTCAGACCACAGTGGGTGGGGGGGGCCTGTGTCTTTGCTAACATTTTAATAGCTTTCAGGCTCTTGGTCTATCTAGGCTTTTGACTTCTTATATCAACTTCTATCGCTTATATTTGCTTTTCTCAGTTTCTCCTAAAGTTACATATCTGTTTTCTCCTCCACCCCCGCCCCCTGCCCAGGCCCCCCAGTGAGGGTGGTAGGCACTGGGGTTGAGTTCACCTTCTGGTCCCAGAATGGTAACATTTGTTTCTATTTAAACCCTTGCCTGGGTGCCTGCAAATTAACCAGGCCACCTGCTAGGTGAGGGTGCCCCTCATGGACGGGAAGGTGAGGGTCTCCCGTAGCCCATTACAGACATTGCTCCTCGTGCTCGGAGCCCACCCCAAGTACAGCACACAGCTCTCACCGAAGCATAAGAAAGAAAGCCCCTTCGTTCTCCAGCTCTTACACTGCCTCTCCTTCCCTTAAAGACACCAGATCATGCTTTGGGACAAAAAAATCCAACTGGCAAAAGAGATGCGCGCCTCAGTGGATTTCGAGACGGGCCAGACAGAGATCAGGGCCATGAAGGCCGAGATCCACAGGATGAAGGTGGGTGGGAGGAAGGAGGTGTGGAGAGCTTGGGAGCTCGGCGTCCTGGAAGGAAACCACTCCGGCACAGCAGCCTGCAGCCCAAGCACAAGGAAACTCGCTGTTTCGCTTTGCCGACCTCCTGTATCAGGGCCTGTCCAATTCTTGTTCTTACTGCACCGAAATGGTTACAGGACACACAGCTGTCTGCACAGTATTCATGAACTACTATTTTACCCTCACTCTGTGCAAGCAATGCACTCCAGTATTTTTAAACGCTGGCTGTCACCCCACCACCACCCACCAATCTCACGACCCATTTGTGAGATGTATCCCACTGTTGGACCAGAAAGACTCTCACTCAGTAACAGGGTTCAAGGAACACAGCCACCTTTTCCTTCCGAGCCATGTTTTCTCTCTACTGACATCTTAAGCTGGATTTCATTCCCTTGAGAAAAGGCTGGTAATTAAATCACAGGCTGTCACTGAGCCAAAGGTTCAGGGCCTTAAGGATACAAATGAGAGGAGGTAATAAAAATAAATGTAACATCACTTTTATAATTACATGGTTAATAATAACTCCGCTAGCTATTGAGTCCAGAGGAATTCTGATCAAATGCATCTACTGCTGATAAGTTTTAGAAAACCACTCCATTTAACTGACTTTTCAAACCGCAGAAGTTGCAGCAGGTCACACCCTCTACCATGGAGCTTACACCCACACAGGCACGTGCACACACACACACATACATGGACGGATGGGGCTACCGCCCCCTTGCCCCCTAGTTGTGGTTTTGTTTTGTTTTGTTTTCCATAACAAAAATAGTACATATAATCCAGCCACTGCAAGGGGAGAGAAGGAGACTTGCATTCTCTCTTTGGTACGTGGGCCTCTCACTGCTGTGGCCTCTCCCGTTGCGGAGCACAGGCTCCGGACACTCAGGCTCAGTGGCCATGGCTCACGGGCCTAGTTGCTCCGCGGCATGTGGGATCTTCCCGGACCAGGGCACGAACCTGTGTCCCCTGCATCGGCAGGCGGACTCTCAACCACTGCGCCACCAGGGAAGCCCAGCAACTTATTTTTTAAAAAATAATCCAGACATTATCTTTCTTCAACAGTTGCAGAATATACTATGGATATAACATAATTTAATGAAACATTCCTAGGTTGATGTGAAGATTCAGATTGTTTCCAGTTTGTTGTTTTGTCACTAAAACAATTGTTACAATGATATCCTTGTGGAAATCAGTGACCATATTTGTTTTCATGGGTCTGTTTCTGGGCCCTCTGCTGTGTCCACTGATCCAAGAGCCCAAATCCACATGGTCTTGATTTCTGTGGCTCTGTCCAATGTGATTCCTCCAGCATTGTTCTTTTTTACAAAATTGTCTTGTCTATTCAATATCTTTTTCCTTTCTAAAAACATTGAAAATCAGCCTGTCAATTTCTACAAAAGTTCCTGTGGGGATCATGGCTGGGATTTGAGGCTACAGATCAATTTAGAGAGAATTGACACCTTAGCATTGCTGAGTTTTCCAGTCCATGAGCAGGTGTATCTGTCTCCCTATTTACTTGGTCTTGTTTGATTTCCCTTGTTAGTGTTTTTGTCTTCAGCATTCGGGTCTTGCATATGTTTTGTTAGATTTATACCTAAGTGTTTCGTGTTTTCTGGTGCTATTGTAAATGGTACTTTTTAAATTTTCAAATTCCAGTTTCTCATTGTTAAGGTACAGAAATACAATGGACTTGTGTGTGTGTGTGTGTGTGTGTGTGTGTGTGTGTGTGTGTGTGGTACGCGGGCCTCTCACTGTTGTGGCCTCTCCCGTTGCGGAGCACAGGCTCTGGACACGCAGGCTCAGAGGCCATGGCTCATGGGCCCAGCCGCTCCGTGGCATGTGGGATCTTCCCAGACCAGGGCACGACCCCGTGTCCCCTGCATCGGCAGACGGACTCTCAACCACTGCGCCACCAGGGAAGCCCCTACAACGGACTTTTGTACATTGACTTTGTTCCTGTGATTTTGCTAAACTCACTCATTTGTTTATCGGTCTATAATATTTGACAACCCACTGCATGAAAAGAGGTTTCTCAGTGGATTTGCGTTGCTGGTTTACGCGTGGGGGGTTGAGTACATGTGTGTGTGTGTTCTGGCGTTTCCTCCTTGGGAGGTTTTGCCTGTTTATATCTTTGCCTGATTTTCCTGTTTCTTATTTCTTAGCAATTTTTAGGACCTCCTTGTATATTGGGGTTAATAACCCCTGTCTTTAATACCTATTCTAAACGTTACCTCTGGTCCACTGCTTGCCTTTACACAATTTTTTTATAGTCTCTTTCCGCTCAGAACGTGTTTAGTGTTTAGTTGTGTATCAGTCTTTTCCTGTATGGCTCCTGGGTCTCTGGTACTATTAAGAAGGTTCCCCTGCTCGAGGTTACACAAACAGATTCCTGAGTTTTTTCACTTGTTTGCACATACTTAGATCTTGAATCCACCTGGAATTTGTTTGGGGATATGTTGTGAATAGGGTTCCATCTGTATTTTCTTTCTGCTGGTGAGTGAGTTACGCCAGCAGCATGTATCAGATGATCTGTGCTTCTCTCACTGATTTGAACGGCCACGTTGATCACACGGATGGAGATGAGGATGCCATCCTTGTCCTGCATCTCTGCTCTGCTGTGACAGTTATTTTGACGGGCTCGTGCCAGCGCAGAGCATTTGGTTACTGTCACCCTTGCTCTGTTTTAACCTCGTGGGCTAGGCCTCCCACCACCACTCCTAACTTGGGGATTCCTGCCTATCTATCCTTTTGTTATTTTGAATCAACTTTATTGAGGAGTAATTTACATGCAGTAACATGAACTTATTTTAAATGTCCAGTGCACACGTATGCAGCCACCACCCCATGGAGACATAGAGCACGTCCACCCCTGCAGGAAGCTCCCTGGCGCCCCTCGCAGCCCAGCTCCCACCACAACCCAGCCCCCAGCTCCAGGCCCTATAGGCCCTACACACCACCATCTCACAAAACCACCATCTCACAAAACCATGGTGCGTTTTTCCTAATGCGGAAATTAACCTTGGTGCAATACAATTAACCAAACTACAAATTCTGACCAGAGTTCACCGTTTTTTTTGGCTAATGTCCTTCTGCTCCAGGACCCAACCCCGGGCCACATCTTGTCCTCATGTCGCCCCACCTGCCCTGGTCTCTGACGGTTTCTCGGTGTTGCCCTGTTTGCCTGGTGTTCTTTACATGGACCTTAAGTCACTATGACTGGTGGACTCAGCCCCCAGGTTCCTTGCTCCCCTGGGGACATCACCCTTGTGGGTTCCCTGATGGTTCAGTTGGATGTGGTGGGAGGTCCCTCTGCCCTGTGCACCCAGGTCAAGCACAGCCAACTGCTGAAGCAGCAGGAGAAGATGATCCGGGACATGGAGCTGGCTGTCGCCCGCAGAGAGACCATCTCCACTCGGGCCGAGGGGCAGTGCAAGATGGACAAGAAGCTGCTCACCCGCACAGACTTCCACCGCAGGCAGACCGAGCTGAGACGGAAGATCAGGGACATTCACAAGGTAGGGGAGCCGAGCGACTAGGAAGGGACCATGCTGCAGGCCACCTGTCCACAGGCGGTCAGCCTGTGTCACCAGCCCCGCTGGCAGGCGTGCAGACATCACTGGCCAGGGCTGTATTTCTGATGTACTTTCCCCAGCTTGGGCTGCGATTTCACTCTGTCCTTCCTGCCTGCTTCTTGGCCGGTCCCTCCCTGCCCCACCTGCCTCACCTCCTCCTCTTCTGCCCCTCATTCCCAGAGCTATGGTCACAGCTGCTGTGTCAGGGCTGTTAGGAGACAGAGAAGTGACAGTGGGGGCTGGGGGTGATGGGAGGAGCTCGGGTGCAGAATCAGACAAGCTGCTTTCTTCTGTGCTGGGGACAAAAGCCTGAGCCTCACACCCCACATGCTGGTTCTGGGTCAAGATACAGTGGGTGCCAGATCAGTAGGTGCTTCCCGAGTGCCCCTAACGTCCTGCTCTGATAGGGGCTTTCTTTGGGAGTTTGTCTTGGGTTTAACAGATCTATATAGGGAGGGTGCAGCTTAGGACTGGAGGCGGCCCTATTTCTGCCCCTTTCTGCCTAACAGAAATGGCATCAGGGAAGTATGGAGTGCTGGTGAAGGGCACGAGACCCTGTGTCACTGACCCCAAGTGGGTGGTGGGGATGGGCCAGCGGGAACATGGAGGGCACCCACTTGAGCCCATGTCCCCGCCCACCAGTCCACATCGACTGAGCGTGTGGTGTGTGCCTTGCCCTGAGAAGGGACCAGCTGTATGGCCCAAAGTGCCCCCTCCTTTTGTGATCACCAGGCTGGGCTGTGGGCTCAGACTTCCCTCAGCCCCTGCTGACCAGCTGTGTGGCCTCAGTGTGTATAGAAACCTTCCACGCCTGAATTTCCTCGTCTGCCAGTGGAGATAGGAGCAGTGACCCCTCCCTGAGAGGCGACGGTTACATGAGACAGAAAGCAGCCTCGGAGCCCCACCGTGGGTCCCAGCCCCTCCGTGGGTCCCAGCCCTGCTCTTCCACTCATGGCTCAGGCACGTCGTCTGATCTCTCTGTACCTCTGTTTACTGACCCGTGAAATGGGTCCTCACCTCGTGGCATCAGCCAGGGGACTGAATGGAGAATGTTGGAATAGCCCCTGTAGGGGGAGTCCTGTATGAGGGAAGGTAGCTGAAAATGACAGACTTGATCCAACTGCTCATTTAGATGTTACTGGAGGCGCAGAGGGGCCTTTTCCGGGCCTGGTTTGTGCATTTCTCTGCCACGTTGGCCACTCCTGGCGTCCATCCCTCTCGACCCCTCGTGGCTCCCCAGGGGTCTCCTGTGCCCAGCTTGGTGATGGACTCCTCTCCGCCCCACCCCACAGAGGGTCTGGCCAGGGCTCCCTTGCTGGCCTCCTCACCCCCAATACTCTCCTGCACCCCCTCTTTGGGAATCCTCCTGGATCATGTGCATAGAGGGTCCTGGGGTCCTCCCAGCCTGACTCTGCTCTGTTGGCTGAATAACCGGTGGGCAGGGTCCCAGGATGCTCCTGTCTAACCCCCCAGGCCACCGAGGAGTGCACCCAAACCATCCTAGAACTGGAAGAAACTCAAAAATCCTTGAGCGACTCCCTCCTGGAGAAGCAGGAGCAGCTGTCAAGCATGCAGGCCAAGGCCGACGAGCTCGAAGCTGGCCTGTACCAGCTGACAGCCCTCAAGCGACAGGTAAGCAAGTCCCCAGGGCCACCAGGGCCACAGGAACCCAGCAGCAAGGCCCGTTCCGGCCCAGCTAAGCCCAGGCTGATCACAGCACTGCCTACTGCTGTTGTCCACCTCATGTTTCCCATGAAGTCTCCATGGGCCGGCACTGTCCTGGGTGCCAGGGCAACAGACTAGAATAGAAAAGGTGACAATCCCTGCCCTCCTTCTGAGGGCGGGAGGGCAGGTGAGAACAAAACTAATAAGAAAAAAGATACCATATATCTGATGGTGATATAGATACTCTGGAGAAACGGGGCAGAGAAGGAGCATCGGGTGGGTGGGGGCTGCACTTGTAAGTAGGGTGGTCTGAGACAGCCACACAGGTGAAGCGACACTGGAGTCAAGACTTGCAGGAAGCGAGGGAGTGAGCAACCCCAGGTACAGCAGGAGCTGGAGACTGCTGGGGCCCCTGGGCTTGCACCGCTTGGGGGTGCACCACCGTGACCAGGGGCTTCTCCCTCAGGGAGGGGGTTGGGGGGGAGGAGTAACTTGGGGTTATCGGGATCACTCGGCTCTGATGTTGAGTGTGGAATGGGAGGGCCAAGTGTGGACACGGAAACCTGTTTGAGGCCATGATGGTACTTAAGGAGGATGGGGATGCACGGAACACGGGTAGCCTGGGGCTAGTGCGAAGCCGTCAGATTCTGCATATAATTTCAAAGTCGCCCCAGTGGGATTTCCTGCTGGATTGGATGTGGTGGTGTGAGCAGAAGAGAGGGGTCAAGCAGGGCTGCAGGGTTTGGGGCCTGGCCAGCTGAGATGGGAGTGGTGGGTGCCGGGCCTGGCACCTGGCAGGTTGGACGGCAGGTGAGGGAGGGTCCAGGCTCCACCCCGTGCATGTCAGCCTCTTTGCCTGGATCTGGAGACTCAGCACCCTCAGCTGTTCGTTCCTGCAGAGTTCTCCTCTGGCATGTCCTTGAGTTGGAGTTCGTGCCAGCCCAGAGGCTGTCCTCTTTTTAACGTGCGTAGCCTGACACGGGGTCTCTTGTCCCACCCAAGAACCTTTCCACACTCGTGGCCCTGCAGTCACGCCTCAAGCACCTGCAGGCCGTGAAGGACGGGCGCTACACCTTCCTGCTCCGCAATAAGCAGTCACTGCTGGCAGAGCTCAAGCGGCTGGACGACCGCCTGGCCGGCATCAGCACCATCCTCCACCACGTGAAGGACGAATACCCCCAGTTCCAGGAGGCCCTGCTCAAGGTCAGCCGGTCCATCAGCAACAGGCTGGAGTCATCCGGGCCCTAGAGAGCACCCACCCCCCAAGGAGATCAGTTTTGTGTATCATCAGGGACTTCAAATCTTTCTACCCTCAGAGACACCAGTTAAGAGAAACAGACAGGCCAGCATTGTAGGAATGTTTTTTTTTTTAGCCACCCGGCAGTTTAAACCAAGTCAAATGCCAGCGTTTCCAGTTGCATTTCGGTGAGTCTTCCGCTTGCAAAGGCAGTGTCAGTGAAAACGAACCCGTATTCCCACATTGGGCTTACTCTTCCAAGTAAAATTGGAAACCCAGGTCTCTGCTCCTGCCCCCACTCCCAGCTTGGGTTAAATCCAGATTCCCAGCTTACAGGAGCAAGTCCAGGGGGACCCTGGCTGCGTCTGGAAGCCTAATGCCTGAGATACGACCACACAGGTGCATGAACACAGACCTCCTTGTCTGCCCACTTGTCCTGCCCTCTCCTCCAGCCAGGGCTCCTCCCCCCACACTGATTCCTGAGCCCCTGCTACCTATGCCTTCTCTGCAGTTTAAAGGAAAATGTTCTAAAAAGTAATTTTAAACTTTCAGCAGAAAAATAAAACTATTTTTCTGAATATGAGAGAAAATTGTATTTATTCTAAAACATTTCAGAAATGCAAAGCCCACAAAGAAGCGAGGAGGCCCTCAATCCTGCTCTGACACTGCTGCGCCGGGCTTTCTGTGCCTGGTTCCACCTGACAAGGCCACAGGGTCCGGCTTCTGTATGTCATTTTGGAAAGCTTTCTCCTTTTTTCTTTTTGCTTTTTAATTAATTTTTATTGGAGTATAATTGCCTTACGATGTTGTGTTAGTTTCTTGCTGTACAAGCTTGCCCCTCTTTTTGTTTTTTAGGCTTGCTTGCCTTAACATGAGACTTTGTGTACGAAAAGTTCCTTGTCATTGAACATTTTCACGACAGTCGATTTTATGGGTTATGACAATGTTTTCCTTTTCAGAAGAACTTTAAGTTGCTTTCAAATTTTCGCTATTTTGTCGCAGAGCCGTGCCTCGGCGGGCGGCCTGGCGGGCTCCAGGATGCTGAGGGTTCGCTCATGCGGGGGCATAGCGCCCTATGCGACCCCCAAAGGCAAGGCCCCGCCTCTCCCCCGAGAGCTCGCCCCTGCAAGGTGCGCGCCCCCTGAGCCCCTCCCACGTTCCAGGGACGCCGAGGCCCAAGGAGGGCGAGGACGCCACCAAGCGCCCCGCCACCAGAGGGCGCATCCCGGAGGCGAGCACTCACTAAGGGCGCCTGCGCAGGGGGCTGTCACGTGACCCGCCGCCGCTGCTCTGGTGGGCGCTGGATCCTGAAGTTGCTGCTACGGGCGGGGCGTGCGTTCGCGGAGGTGAGCAGGGGGCCGGGCGCGCGTGCGCGGAGGTGAGCCGACCTGCCTGCTGGACCCGGGCTGCAGTGGTCCCAGCGAGCGGCGGGGCAGGGGAGGTCCGCGGCAACCCCGCAGAGTGGATCCTTGGCGGGTGCGGGCAGTCGCGACGCCCGAAATGGGAGGGGTCGATCGATAGAGGGATTGGTCAGTGCTTTCCTACTGGAGAAGTTGAGCACACCGTGCCAGGGCCGCGCGCGGCAGGAGGCAGCAGCAACGACAGTGACCCCAGTAACATTGGGGACCCCGGAAACTCCACGGTCCCCACTCACTGCCCCCGAGCTGGTCTTGGAAGGCTGCGCTTGCCCCCGTCCACAGGGAGGAAGCTGAGGCACAGGAGGTTGAGGTTGAGAACCCTTTACTTCCTCTGCCGGTGGTAGAGCTGGGCTTTGAACCACCACCGTGGCCTGGGGGAGCAGCAGTTCTGAGACACTTACCTGAAGGCGGGGTGACCGGCCCTCTGGGTCAGCAGTGCCACTTGATCTACTGACCTTCAGTTCTTCCCCGTTTTCTCTCTAAATTGTCAAGCGCTGTGAGTGTGGCTCTTCCCCATTTTAGGATCTCTTCCCCTTTCTAGGCTCTCTTCCCTGTCTGTAAAATGGAAGCAGGGAAGGGCATGGGGTGCTGCCCTGGCCGTGCTTCTGGCCACCTCTGCAGCTTCTGAAGTCTTTGCCCAAGAGCTCCCAAGTGAGGACCCCTGGAGTCCACTCAGAGTTCCTTAGTTTCTGAGTCATCATGATCACAAATGTGTCTGGCAGGGTCAGGTGAAGCTGGGACACTATGTGGTATAAAAAAAGAGATATTAGTCTTTGTCTCCAGTTCCTGGCACACAGCTCCTAAAAACCCTGGAATCTTGGGGGTGGTAAGAGTGTCTTTTATATGCTAATGAGATGACTGGGGGCTTGTAGATAGCTTTAGAATGGGGGCTAGTCCCCAGAAGGAGCAAGGCAGGATTCGAGGGTGGGAACTTTCTCCTGGGCTTCCTCTGGGCAGGAGGCTCTTGATTAAGAGAGGGGGCTGGTGATTAAGTTAATCACCAGCGCTCAGTGATTTCATCATTCATGCCGTACATAATGAAACCCTAAACTAGTTGGGGTTTGGAGAGCTTGCAAGCTTGTGAACACATTTTGGTGCTCAGAGGGTGGCCAGCGCAGAGAGGGCATAGAAGCTCAGCACCCCTTCCCCATACCTTGCCCTCTGGTTGTTCCTGAGTTGTATCCTTTATAATAAACAGGTAACAGTAAGTGAGTTCTGTGAGTTGTTCTAGCCAGTTGTTGAACCTGAGGAGGTGAGGGGTGCTGTGTGAACCCCGGAATTGATAGCGGCTTGGTCAGAAGAGCCGGTGACAACCTGGGACTTGCGGTTAGTGTCAGAAGTGGGGGAAGTCTTGTGGGACTGAGCCCGCAACCTGTGGGGTCTGCGCTAACTCTGGGAGTTCGTGTCAGAATTGAATTGAATTGCTGGACACCCGGCTGGTGTCCAGAGAATGGGAGAATTGGTTGGTGAGAAAAAGCTCCACGCATTTGGTGTCATAAGCGTTGTGAATGAAAACAGTTCACTCTTGCATCTAACGTACTGGTGGCCCATGGTGGCCAGAATGTTCCAGGTGACCGGTCTGTGTCTGTGACAGGCTTGGACTCTCTCAGTGACCTGGGCGCACTTTTGCCTGGCGTGTGACTTTTCCCCTACACCTGCATGTTTCTGGAGGCCATGAGAATGCAGCTCACAGACCTCCCACCACAGGGAGCTTCACTGACAGAGGCTCAGCCGCCATGCCCTGAAATCATCACTGCATTTCCTGCGAGGGGCTGCCTCCCGGCCCTTAACGCTAAGGCAGGCCGCTTCTGGGAGACCTGGACCCCTCTAACGGCCAACTTTGGCTCAAGAACCCCAACCCTGTGGCCTTGCCCAAGCTTCCCTAACCTGCATGGCAGTCTGGGGCTCTTGAATCCACACCACCCTCCCATGGGGTCAGACCTGCACGGGTGTGTTGGTGCTCTCAACCCTCTCTGGCAACCTCCCCAGTTTCTCTCAGACAGATAAAAAGGTCACCCTTAATAAAATCCTTGCATGTTTAGTCCCATATCAGTGTCTGCTGCTCCTTGGAGGAGCTGGACCAGCAATGTTCCCTATAAAATATTTAGAACATACAGATAATCAAGATGCAGGTAAGAACAGTCTTAGTACCAAAGTAACCAGAGTGAGGCTCCAGTGCAGCTGCTGTGACAGAGACCCAGAACCAGACCCCACACGAGCCTGACTGCAGGGGCCGGGAGGGGCTCCGCCTGCCCAGTCCTGGGGACCAGACTTTTCTTCTGTGCTTGGCCGTCCCTGAGTGTTGCCCTGGGCTGCAGTGCCCAAGACCCCTCACGGGCCGTATCCACGTCCTGGTCAGCCCAAGAGGGACAGAGGGAGGACACGCTTCCACCCCACTGGCCAAGACTCACCTCGGCCAGTCTTCATATGGGAGCGGGACTTATCTACTGTGGGAACTTGTTTGTTCCACTTGGTCTATCACGTGGGTCTTTGTGTGTTACGGACATTCTAAATGCGTTTATTTGTAACATATTAGAAGACTTCACAATGCACAGGATTCTGCAACTCCCTGTTTGGGACTTTTCTCTCCTCCTTTTTCCTCCCTCCGCCAGGCCTGCCCTGCTTCCTCACCAGACCTCACCTCTAGCCTGCGCGCTGCTGGGCTGGCCACAAGTTCATGTCTGGAAGCGGCTTTGAGAGTCTCCTGAGGCCCCGGCCACTCCCTGCTGCCGTCCCTTTGAGCCTGGTTCTTCTGTCTGCGGGCCTCCTGGGCCCGCTGCCCACACATGATGAGGTGGCCACCCTGTTCCTGCCCCCTGCTGGGGGTCTGCGCCCTAGTCTCCTTGGCCATCCTGGGGCACCTCCTGCTTCATGACTTCGACATGGTCCCCCAAGAGCTGCACAGTTTCTCCCAAGAGGAGATTTACCCGGCTCGCCAGCCCAGAGCCAGCAGCCAAGGGCCCCAGCCCGTCCCAGGGCACCACGGCAGCCCCAGGGCAGCACCCACACAGTGCGACCTGCCCCCTGACGGCCGCTTCGACTGCGCCCCCGACAAGGCCGTCACCCAGGAGCAGTGTGAGGCCCGGGGCTGCTGCTACATGCCTGCAAGGCGGCCTCCGGGCACCCAGATGGGGCAGCCCTGGTGCTTCTTCCCTCCCAGCTACCCCAGTTACAGGCTGGAGAACCTGACCACCACCGAGACGGGCTACGCGGCCACCCTGCTCCGTGCCACGCCGAGCTTCTTCCCCAAGGACATCATGACCTTGCGGCTGGACGTGCTGCTGGAGACTGAGAGCCGCCTCCACTTCTCGGTGGGCGGGCGGGGGCTGGGCAGGGGCAGAGAGTGTGCGGACAGTGGATAAAGACAGACTCTACGGGTTGTTTGTTTATGCACAGACGTGTATTGTGCCCTCACCGGGAGTCTGGGTGTGAGCAGACACAGTGCCAACACTCAGGGGACAGTGGGCCGCTAAGACAGTCACTAGGAGGCTCTATGGGACAGGGCTCAGGGCGAGGTGGTGGGAGGTTAGGTCGCCCCCGGGAAGTGACATCCCAGCTGGAACCTAAAGTAGGAGTCAGGAAGGGGAAAGGTG